GAACCCTGGATGGATGCCCATCAGCATTAAACCAATGAAAAAAAGCCATTTTTGTGCAGTAAGAACTTATTTTCATTTTTGAAGTGGGATTAGTCCAGCCACATGATCTCTCATGCAAATCTCAATTCCATTAGCCATAGCTTCCTTTGGAATAGTTTTTTTGCTGCTTTCTAAAATAGTTTTTTAGTACAAAAATTTTTTAATTTTTTAAACTATAATTTTTTGTACGAAAAAAATTGTTTAAAAAGCAATGATAAAACTGTGCCAAACGAAGCCTTACTCTCCCACACGACTTTGCATTGCAACATTGGAGATCAAAAGTATATTAGGTATGTGCTTGAAGGCTATGGAAGTAACAAAGTCGAACGCAACAAGTTTTGCATGATTTTGAACAGAGATGGTGTGGCAGGGTTGTGATTGTAAGATTTGATGGATCTTCACAGGTTTAGGTTTTGTTTGAAATAATTTTTTTGTTATTTTGCTTTTCAGATCGTAAACACAATTTTTTTTTGCCATTGCTTTTTTGCTACTTTCAAAAAAAAAATTGTACTGATAAGTTGTTTTCTATTATAGTAATATTAATAATAAAGATAATGATAATGACATAATGATGCAATGAATACATATGAAATGATTAAAACACCACATTAAAGTTAGATGTCCTGCCTCGTTGAACCATGTAATGCTATATATATTAATTATATTTCTAACATTGATATCATTGATATAACTAATTGATAGATAGAGAAATGTGTGTATATTACATGTACTAATTTCACAATAATAATAATTGAAAAGATAAATAAGACTGATATCGTTGATGATATTGACACCTGCATGTTTGAAATATACACACATGGTTTATTTCATGTTATATTACCGATTTATTGATTTTTGATGTATTCATGTTCTTGCACATGTAATTGATTTATTTACTTAAACATGATGTTGCTCACTTTTCGTTATTGATCATATTGAATCGTACAAGTGATGATTGAGCATTGATAATATTAAACACTATTGAGTTTATTGATTGAGATGAGTGTACATTTTGATTTCTTAGATCTTGTATTGAAAGCTTTAGTCAGTTTTTAGTTTTTGTTGTGCTTTGTAAACGCATTATGCGGTTTTAATTGATTTTAGGTCAGGGAAGGGACCAAGACTATATGGAGTAAGATTGATTGAGATCTTTAGATTCTTCTTTTATTTTGCTCTGTATTTTATTTTATTTTATTTTTTTATAGCTAGGAGCTTGAGGTATATTATTAATTGTAAGTGATCTCCTGACTATTATAAATATAATTTTGAGGAATGAATAGTGAAATATTTTGATGTATATGATTTTAGTTGTTTCCACTTGATTAATTTATAGTAATGAATTCATGGAAGCTTTAGTTGATTATTTAAGTGATTAAAATAGGCAATTTTTTCGAATTTGATCTTTGGACTTGACAGCCTAACCCCATCAGGAAGAAAGTGCAGAAAGTCCTTTGGTACATGAAAAATAAAAACAAAAAATATGGAGAACAAACATTGATAGGTAGGTGAGCTATCAACAAAAGGAAACCACCTCTTTTATGAACTATAAGCCATTATTGATTCACTAGCATGCATGTGACACATACAACCAACTTAAAGAGTTAAGATATAAGGATGCATACTGTAACAACTTCTCTCAGAGCAAGACCACAGACAGCAATGTCGATCGATCGAGCTAAGAAAAATCAGTTCACTGGCAGGTGTTATAGTGATTCTTCTTCTCCTACTATTTCTCTGCATCACCAGCAGTGTTGAAACAGTCGTGGAAACTTATATCCATGGCCAGAATAAAGTTCCGTTTGGGATAATTTTTTATGCTTTTCAAAACAGTATTTTAATACAATTTTTTTTTGTGTATTACAAAGCTGCTTTAGAAAGCAATAAGAAAGTAATCCCGAACCAAGCCTAAGGTTTCATTTGGGACGACTTTCTTACATCTTTTTAAATCAGATTTTTAGTACAAAAATAAAAAAAATTGTACTATAAAGTTGTTTTAAGAAGCAGTAAAAAAATCATCCCAAACGAAGCCTAAGTCTTCGTTTGAGGCAGCTTTCTTATTGATCAAGTTAAAGTACTTATTTTTTTTTTACACTTAAAGCAATTAAGATTAAATAAATTCATATGAAAGCAAATGGAAGCGCACTTGATATGACTCTGTATGCATCAATCTCAAGGAAGTCTTTGAATTGGAAGCTTTTGAAATTAATTTCTACATCATTCAAATTTTAGTTTTAGCAAATTTGTAGTCGAATTGAACATCTTAATAAGATGAACCTACCAATACGACAAATGATCTTATCCAACTCCAAACGAGCTCAAATTAGGTGCTTGAATAGTATTTGAAAATTTCTAAACTTTAATTGACGGATCAAGCAACCTCCAATTATAGCAAGCTTATAGTCAAATCTATCAGTTCTACGATCGAGACACATCTAATG